GTAATCTGATCTCTGACGCATGCGTCCTATCGTTTGCTGACCCCCTGCTGGTATTGTTGCGGGTGTCTACGCCCCCAGGTAATGAACAGGCAGGCAGTAAGTGTCTTCAGGGAATTTTAGGCCCCTTCCCCTTAGCCGAATTTTCACTTAATTACGGCTATACTCTATGCAACAGTTCAAGTCCTATGCGCTTTGCAATGTCGTGCAGGTTCTCACTGAACCGTTAACGCCTGGCAGTCAGCTTACCGTATCCGTACTGGTGGATTGCATAAGTTAAGTAAAGCTAGGCAAGTAAATAAACCCAAGTGTGATTAAATTCACGGCGCACAGTGAGCCTCATAGCTCAATGGTAGAGCGCTGGCTGCACAAAAGCCTTCCCTGCTGTGTGGGTTCGACTCCCACCGAGGCCACAAGTTTTTCACAATTGGGTCAACTGAAAAAAAATATTTGTCTGTGTGCACTGGGGATCTAAAGGTGTTCATTTTTATTTCCACTCACATTGAAGATGTTTTCCAACCCTATCGCATAGGCCATCTGACGCACTATAATGCAGGTCTGTCAACTGTGGGAGTTTCCAACCTCTCGATATTAGGTAGCGGTGGGGGGAATTTCGTCCTAGTTTACTGGAGAAAAGGAGAACTTCATGCTCCAGTATTTTTTTTTATTATTTTCAAAGGTATGTTCGCTCGTGTTTATTTATGTATAAGAGGTCTTACTCGGTGTAAATGTTTCAGTAAATTCTCGGACATGCTGGCCCAACGGCGAAACTTGGCCTCCTCGACCTGGTTGCGTGGCCTACCTGAACGGTTTTTGATTCTTGCGCCCTTCACAATGGCCCAGACCGAATTACGACTGATCAATACCAATTACGTACGTCAGCTGCAATTTGCATGCCATGTCTCCTACTGATATGTACCACTTACGTTGACTCGCCCTCACGGTTTTTTGTCTTTTCAGCGGCCAATTGATAAGCTGGAGTGTCTGAAGCGTGTGTTGGAGGGTATTTCTCCTTCGGATGCACAATTACAACTCCCACCAACACCAGACCCTCGAATCGTGTCAATCCTCACGTATGTTATCATCCAGGTTAGTCGGCCTTATTATTTCCTCTTCCGTTGCCTATACCAAGACTCCAGCTTCTATTCTTCTGCATATTGGTAAGAAGACAGTGGGTTGATGCGGTTGCAGTTATTACCAACATCACAGACGCAAAACTAAACATAAACTCGCTTAATGGTTTTTAGCTTTTACCTTAATTTTGGGTTTGAAAAAGTCCGTAATTACTCATGTGGGGCTGATTAACACATCCTCGAATAGTCGAGGTTAACCTGTTAGCCAGGTGCCACTACTGACTCCCCCCTCAACTGCGCAGTGGCTA